GTTGATGAGATCACGACGGCAATTGGATCCCATTATTGGTTGGTTTCGGGATTTAACACTTGGTATTGAAGGTTTTGAATGTCAAAAGTCCCATAGCTCTACACGGCAGGTAATTCTGATTTTGTTCGTTTCTTGCTGTTTTTTTGAATTATTTTTCTCGGGAGTGATTCCTTGCTTTCCCTTCCGTACAATGCTTCTGTTCCCTCCAAAACTCAAGAACAATCGAAGGATCCAATCCAACACCAAAAATCCTTACTTTCTTCTTGGTAGATGCAAATTCTTTTCTTTTTACCACCCAAAGCTCCCTCTGTATCGATTCGTGAAGAGAGTGGGTTTTGTCTTGATTTCATCGCTTATGCAGATACCCAAATGTCCAAACTTGTTACTGCTCAAGAATTCATTGCTTACAGCTTCATTTTTCTGCAAGAAAAACAATCGAAATATGGCGGCGACTGCATCTTCATCTTCAATGGAATCCCCCGAAACAACGACGGAGAGGAGAGGAATCCCGGGAACTCAGTTCGTAGAAGATGTCGAGACTTATCTATCTCAAACTGGCCTCGATGTCAACTCTGCCCTCGCTTTTCTGCAAGAAAGGTCCTTCCTTTAATTCTCAATTTATAAAGTTTGGGTTCTATTTATTTTTCATATTTAGTTGGGATTGAAGAGTTCGTAGGCTTATTTGGTTGGAGCTTATTGAATTTGCAGGCTTCAGCAGTATAAGTTGGTCGAGATTAAATTTCTTGCTCAGCAACTGGATCTTCAGGTATTATATTTGAGATCGTAGCCCTAGATTTAAAACTTAAAGGAAACTTATAATCCTAGCCATCCAAAATATCTCCAAGTATTGTAATAATATAAGCTCCTGTGTCAGGGGTCCATGGAAAAGTGTTGTGAAAATGCTTGTTATATCATATCAAGAAAGGGGGAAGCAAGGCAAAATCAGGTCTCACCCTTGTGTGGATACAATTTCCTTTTGAATGGTGTTTTGTAAAAGCATGATATTATTGGAAAGAATATGACTTGTTTAGTCTAGATTTTGCCTTGCTAATTCACTCTTTCTGTATAGGCTTTGACTTCTAAAAGCCATGTTACTCGGACTTGACTGCAAGTGTAAGCATAAAATGAGCATAAACACAGCTGAAATGATCGAACAGAAAAACTTCCAATCATTGTCTAATGCCAAAATTTGAAATTTGGTTGCACCACCATTGAACACACCTAACCACCGTCAAGCAAGTCAAATTTAGTTGCACAGAAAATTGAAAACACCAAAGCCGAACTAAGCATTTGAGAACCTCACTAGATGGTATAGTTACACTAAATGAATTGCTTGTGTTTTATGTGTTTAGATACCTATAAGCTCGTCCTATTTATAGTGGTGGTTCCCCATCAAAAACCAACCTCCACCATACCATGCCATGTTCACATCATGTGGAAAATGCTCCTCAATCTCAACTATGCACTTTAGTAGTTTGAGAGAGGAAACATGGGGTTATCCCACAAACTACAACCATTCTAATATCACTTTAATTTCCCAGTACAGGGAATGTGGGAGTAGGCCATGAACCACAATATAGAATTTTGGTATGCATTTGACATGGGTATGGTTAGACTTTTTTCATGTATATGGAGGACTCTTGGAGGTCATATCCCCGTATCCATGTGTTAGACATTAGTCGGACAAGGATATTTAAAAAAATTCGAGAGTTCGACGATCATAGGCTGAAAGTATATCCGACCATGTTCTGTTATGATGCTGCTTAGTTACATTCTAATTTATGTAACGGGTTAATCTATGTTCATTCCCTCCCAAAGATTCAACCAGGCTAGACATTCTCATTCATGCTTAATATATGTTGCTTAAAGTTGTTGGCATATAACAAGGGTTTTGACTAATATGCTTTATTATAATGGTCATCATGCAAAAATTCCTGATATTGAGAAATGATTGGACGTGGTTGCCACTTTACAAGCTAAGGAGGGTTCTGGTGAGGTTCATATTTTTATGATATCTTGACTTTTACATTACGGTTCTTCTTTTTTAATGAAGTACTTATTCTCCATTTCTTTTTGGAATTTCGGGTATTATAGCAATGATTTAACTTATCAATGTTGTTTGTTTCTATCTTATGTTGAAAATAATATGAGTTGCAGCTCATGAGAATGACTACTGTCTCTCTGAGTTTCTGGCAACCATATAGCATGAAAATCTCATGTGACTTGGTGAACTTGTGATCTGCTACATATGGGCCTGTATTGCTTGAAATTCTTAACGTTCGTGTCTAAGCTTTTTTACTTTAATGCTGAGGATTGAATTGTACAAGACATTCATATTGTGCTTGATTAGGTGTGAAGTTCTCAAATCAAACGGTTGCATGCTTTTACGAAAGAAGCTTGTAAATAAATTTAGACCTCTTTATCTCTATCATGTGTTGTATGTATGATAATGGTTTTTAATGTTACTTTCGTCTTATATAGGCTTTTATTGCTGATTTTGAAGTCTCTGAAGGCATATAGTCAGGGGCTAGCATTGAGGATAAACTATTCAGTTTGTTTATGGCTGGGAGCAAATGTCATGTTGGAATATTCTATTAACTATGCGAAGAGTTGCAATAGTCGTAACTGGTCACTACCTGTTCGTATGCTTTAACAGAAAAAGAGTAATGTAATTCTATTAACTTCTGCATGTGCAGGCTACTTCGCTACTGAAAAAGAATTTGGAAAACGCTAAGTCAAGTCTGGAAGTTCGTATAGCCGATTTGCGGTTCTCGAGGGATCAAGTGACTATAACTCAGGTAGTACAGGCTGAGCATGTGTATTCTATCAGCATGTGTTGGTTTTTGGTTCATCAACGACGAATCCGTCAAACCACTACTTCTTCCACAGCCAAGGATTCATGAACTTAGAGATACCATTCCTTGATATAGTTGGAGGAAAGTATGCTGCTACCCTTCGTTTTTTTATGTTCCGGTCGACGTTTCATCCGTGTATTTCTTGATTGATCGATTTCGCTCTGTGGTCTCTCTATATCTACACTTTCCTCCGGTTCTAGGTTTCTTGGTTCAGATAAGTGTGAAACACATAATTATGTTGGTGGGAGTTTTGGACATCATATGTAACAGCTGTTTTTACTATGATAGCATAGGAGTTTGTGTTTTTATTTATTTATTTGTGTGTCCATTGCTTTTTTCCAACTTTGTTCAGTTATAACTGTTTGATGTGCCAGTAATTCTCAGTGTGAACTTTGCTATGAAGAACTATTCGAACGTTGATCAGAGCTGTATCTAGTGGCTAATATATTCTGTTAGTATGGCAGCATGAATTTTCGGAAATGATCTTACTATGAAGCTTTGTTCTACTATTCGTATGCCATAACAATTCGCAGTTTCTCGTTTATTTTAGAGTGATTGTCTAATGGTAGTGGTTGTAAGATGTGCCAGTAATTCTCAGTTTGAACTTTGCTATGAAGAACTATTCGAACGTTGATCATAGTTGTATCTAGTGGCTAATATATTTTGTTAGTATGGAAGCAAGAATGAATTTCCAGAAATGATCTTACTATGAAGCTTTGGTCTACCGTTCTGCCCGATCCAATTCTGAGACCTTTACATTTGATTCTTGGGATTTTGTTGGAATGTACTGGAAATGATTTGTAGGTATCGTATTTTTCTTCAATTTTTAACTTCTTCTGAGACAACTTGTATGTTCTGCAGCTATGACAAATCAACAGCTAAAGGATAGAGGAAACCAGATGATGGATGAGACTGATCAAGCCATTGACAGGGCTAATAAGGTTGTTATCAAAACTTTTTCTGCAATCTGATTATATGACACCCCGTGCATTTTCTATAGGGAGAAATAATTGGTTTTATATTAAGATCCTTAGATATTGAAATTTCCTTCTATATTCTTTCTATATTGAACTAAAAATCAACAAAATGCAAGAAGTCTTGGGATGTCCAAATTTTTGTATTAATTCCTCCCATCATTAACACATCCAGATTGATGGGCTATTGATAATGAAAGACTAATTTTGCCTGACCCCTTTTAATATTAGGTTGTTCAAGATACTGTTGATGTTGGAACAGAAACTTCTGCAGCTCTCAAGGCTCAGGTACACAACTTGAAAGCATTAAGAATTATCAACATTGTGGTCACCGTGTCATTCTTATAGTATTGTTGTGGGTGTTTTTTAGCCCGTGTATCTTTTTTCATTTTGCAGTTGCCACTAAAGATAAAAGATAAAAACAGACTGTTACAGACCTTTCAATGGCCAGGGTGCACATCCGACACCAGTTCTACCACCAATCAAGTCTACTATACCCCTTGATCCTATTGGACAGCTCAGTGAGTGTTTGCTGTTGAAGAATATGTTTGATCCTGCAACTGAGGTTTAGATTTTCCTGTTCTAAACATGTTATTTCACTGTTACTTCGTGTGTTCTTTTCTGCTTCCTTGTACAAGATAGTTAATTTTCTGTATGTTTTATCGCCAGAAGGAACCAGATTTTGACTTGGATATTAAAGAGATGTTGAAGAAGAATGCAGCAAATATGGCAGGGTGAAGCATATTTATGTTGAAAAGTAAGCAATGCACTGTCTATTGCTTGGGATAAACTCAATTGTTTCAGTAATTGTTTTTATTTTCTCAAATCTGGATAAGTATCTTCTATAGCCATTATTTATTGTTTATTATTGAGCAAATGTTCTATGTATGTTGAACAACAGTCCTATTTGCAACCTATTGTTTGTTTGCTGGTAAAAATAAAATTACACCATACCTTGTAAGCCGCCTTTATCATGCCCCAGAAATAAGTAAGTTCTAATATGAAGCTGTTACTATTTTACAGAGATTGGATTATTTTCTTCTGTAGGCTGATATTTGTTCATTACTATTATCTTTGGGTTAATGTATAATATTTATCTTTGGTGCAGTTCTTGGTTTGCCTTATAATCATCCAATGGATATGTGGTCTGTTGGTTTCTGTTTGTATGAGCTATATACTGTAAAAGTTCTTTTCCCTGGTACAACAAACAATGACATGCTCTGCCTTCATATGGAACTGAAAGGTCCTTTTCCAAAGAAGATGTTGCGTAAGGTACATTGTCAATTCGTTTGAAGGATTTATCTTTCAATTTTCTCTTTTTGCTGGACACGTTCTTACTTGATGCAGGTCAGTTGAATTCATTCTTCTGTTTTCATTAACGTGGTTTTCATTTCAAAATTCAAACCATGTTATACCAAAACAAAAGGTGCATTTAGAAGCTTTTTGATTCCCTAAACCCCTTGTTACTAAATTGTACATGCAGCAATTGTTGGTACTTCATCAACAAGTACAAATAATGGACTGGTTCTTCAAGAAGTTTTGGAAGAGTCTCCGAAGTGGAAGGTGTTACGTGTGAGTGAGTTCCATTATTTGTGCATCATATGCTTTCTCCGGTCACTTCAATCTGGGATGATACTCTTCTTTCCTGTTCTCTTTGATTTGTTTTTGCAGGTAGGTAGGATGGCAGGGCAATTTGCAAAGCCAAGGTCAGACCCATTTCAGATTAAAGACGGAGTTAAGTTACTGAGTTATCGAGGAGATAATGTGAATGGCGATGCTTTTGATGAGAAATCTAGAGTGCCTGACCCTCAAAGATTGATTAGAGCTTATCATCAATCTGTTGGTAAAATACATGTACTGCATTGAAGATTTCATCATTGATCCCATGTGTACACACTGTCCTAATTTAGCTCCAAACGTGTAAGACACTTGTGAATACACATACTGCAGTGAAGATTTCAGCATTAATCCCATGTGTACACACTCGTATTATAATTATTTATAATATTATTAAAATTATCTATAATATTAATTATTAGTCAGTTTTTTATTCGTTTGTGTGATTATAAAGTAGTATATGTTCGAAAGACACAAACTATTTGAAAATAAACGTTCAAACATCTCTGTAAATGTTGTACTCGAACCTATGACCTCTAGAAATAACAAATATGACTTAACAACTATTTAACAAATGTGTATATAAAAAAAACTCAACTGACTAAAATACAAACACTTAAAAAATTGAGTAACTAAGAATATAGTTTAGGTTATAATAAAAATTGACTTAAGAATCGAAATGGAAAAATGTAGGCGCAATATATTTAGTAACTATCAGTCTATACGGATACGATATTAATTGGAAGTATGCGTTAGGTGTACTTGGATGCAACTCTCGAACATAACTCCATGTCTGTTTTTTACTTTAAAATTTTTTTGTGCATACTCCTTGCCCTATTTAATCTCTGTCTCTGTCTACCAATTGCCATGGGGAAAAATAGAGTGGAGGTACACAGTAAGGATTACGTACACCCCCACCATCTCCCTTGTTGGACATGGAAGAGCTCAAGGACTGGTCATTTTACAGAGATGTCCTTGCCGAGTTTGTTGCTACTCTTTTATTCCTTCACGTATTAGTTGCCACTGTTATTGTATACAAAAGGCAAACAAGTCCCTGTGATGGTGTTGGTCTCCTCGACGGCATCATTTTTGTTCTTGTCTACTGCACCGCCAGAATATCTGGTAACCTCAAAACATTATGTTAATTAACTCAAACAATTGCTTGGTTACATTGCTATTCTTCTCCAAGACTTCTCATCTAACTGTTCAATTTCAACTTTATCGAGTGGTTCACTATAACTTCTAAACAAATAAGTCTCAGCTAAGTATGGAATATTGGACACTTCATTTCTATTTGGTATATTCGATCTTGTTTCAACATCTTCCAAATATCAAAAACAAAAATTTATACACTCTTTTGTCAAATACCCTTCAACAATTGATCTTTTTGGATAACGCTTACTACGACAGTAAGACTTCAACTTGCATAAAACCCTAAACCTTAAATTCCAAACCCCGCAAAAAATAAGCCCGGACCAAAAAAACCCATCCACCTCCCTAAGATTCTTCCTGTGCACATGGAAGATTCAAGAGCAGCCACAAACCCACCCAAACTTGCAGCTGCTACATCACGTGGGCCAAAGGCCTACCCCTGCACAAAATTGCACATGGCCAACAGCCCACGCTTATATTCTGGCGGTTGGTATTTAAAAACCATTCCAATTTTGTTTTCGTAAGGGATGTGGGATTTTGCTCTTCCCAGAAAAAACTAACGCAGGACAATTTTCCCAATTCTTTCGCTCCGTCTTTGCTTCGTCTCCAAGTCCAAGTCAAGATTTGTGTTTTTGCGCCCCACTTTTACCTTTTCATCTCATTCTGCAAGTCTAAACCAGGTCTTCTTTCTCACTCTCTTTGTAAGGAGTTCATTTTTGGATTTCTTTTCTGGGTTTCTATCATGGGTTATGGAAGCAGCAGCTCTTATGGCCATCGGTCTTGCACATGGAGGGGTAAGTTGATACGTTTGTGAAACGAGTGAAAATCTGATCACACCTTTGATTTCGGAAACGGTTGCTAAAGCCTTCTTTCGTTGCAAGGATAGTCTACTGATTACCATGATTTGCTTCGTACATTGGTGATTACTTTGGAGCATCAGATTACCAATGCTATTGATTCATGCTTTCTACTGCAATTCGTAACCAGCCTTGACACTCTATTACTTTGAAAATTACTTTGGCTATCCTGATGAATTTCGTGTTTTCTTTTTCGATTTCAAGTAAAGCTTTCGAAATTTGCTATTGATTACCAATGCTATCCTGATAAATTTCGTGTTCTCTTACTTCTACACCATACCCATCTTCTCGATTTTCCAATAGATCCGATTTTTGTTGGTTTCGCAGTTGCTCTGCTTCTTCTTCTTCTGGAGGCTGTTGTGTATTTCCTTGTCTTTGCTTTCAATAGTTCCGATTTATTTGTTTGATTTTATTTTTTTATTTTTCGTTTATGTACTGGATAAATGCGAATCATCGACGGAATCATTTGCTTCGGGTTCTTGAATCGGAAAGGGGTTTTGCCAAGGAAAAAGCGTGCATTGCTCTACAAGCTTATATTTGCTTAGGCTACGCCAAGTTTTAATTCATTCCTGATCATGCAGATGAATGAACTTGCTGATATTGCCAGATGTGTAGCAAATACACCATCCGTTGATGATCGTTCGGTGCCATATTTGCTGTCTTGTCTTGAAGACTTGAGACTTGTCATAGATCGCAGAAAATTTGATGCACTCACAGTAGAAACATTTGGTGCACGCATTGAGAAGCGTATAAGGTAATTTTCTTGCTGCTGCTTATTTTTTAGATTTATATTGTAAAAACGCAATGCATGAACCTTGAGAAAAAGGTTCTAGTTGAGTTTGTTTTGCTTTTCTTATTATGTTATGGTTTTTCTATTTTAGGGAGAAGTACTTGCAGTTTTGTGAGCTAGTCGAGGATGAAAAGGTTGATATAACAAGCACTGCCATTGATGAGGATGCTCTTTTATAGGACGATGTGGTTCGTAGTTTGAGAACTAGCCCCTTTCATTCATCTAAGGATCGTACCTCCATAGATGACTTTGAGAAAATAAAACCAATTAGCCGTGGAGCATTTGTGTGCGTTTTCTTAGCAAAAAAAAAAGGACAACAGGGGATCTTTTTGCAATAAAGGTTCCGGAGTTTGATTTTCTTTCCCTAAGATCCATTTTACTAATAATATAACATTTAGTTATTTATAGTTTATTTTATTCTTTAATTTTAGATTGTATTAGTTCCCTATAAGTCTTTTTTATGTTTAGGGCATTTCCCTTTTTGGTTCTTACAGTGACTCCCCTCTTTTTTTTCTGCTGTATCATGTTTTATCTTATATGCTTTTTATATTTTTTTTTCTGTTAGCTTGTGATCGAGAGGTCACGTGGAGTTAGTTTCAGTTAAAATTACGTTTATGTTGTTTGTACAGGTGCTAAAGAAGGCAGATATGATTCGCAAAATGCAGTTGAAAGTATATTAGCAGAGCGTGACATTTTGATTTCAGTCCGCAACCCATTTGTGGTGAGCAGGTCTAACATGCCAAGAATTTACGGTTCTTGAGAACTTGATATATTATTCTTACAACTGTGTGCTGTGTCAGGTTCGCTTCTATTCATTTACATGCCGTGAGAACTTGTATCTTGTGATGGAATATTTAAATGGAGGTGATTTATATTCATTGTTGAGAAATTTAGGCTGTTTGGATGAAGAGGTTGCCCGTGTATACATTGCAGAACTTGTAAGTTTTAGATTCATTTTTTACAAGGAGTATATGCCTTTTCTTATGTTAGTTGAATTCTTCTTTTCAGTTGTATAAATATATACATATTTTTATAGGTACTTGCCCTGGAGTATTTACATTCTTTTCATTGCAAAAGAAGATCGGAGCAAGTTTCGGTTTCAATTGCTAAAACATTGCATCCACTGGAGCCGGTTACCATTTCGATCGTTGCGGAGAAGTCGACCAGAAAGTCTCTGAAAGAAGAACAATAGAATGGAAACACAAGCCCAATAAATTCTTGTTCGCAATTTGCTTGTCGGGTCAAATGAGTAACCATCCTATTTCGGAAATCCATATGTTCTTGGACTTACTGTGATTGCTGGAATTGGTGGCTTCCTCTTTGCCTACGACACAGGTTATCAAATCCCTTTCATCCCTTATTTCCAACTCTCTTTGTTCCTCGTTAGATTTGCTGTATTCATCTGCTGACAATAATTTCTGTCTTTCAGTAGTTCTGTTGAATGTCTGGTTCTCCAAGGTATGTTTGTATATGATATGCTGCAAAGACAGGCCCTAGCTTATTCGTTCTACAAGCAATCATTCAGTCTTCAAAGTCAATGCTGTGTTGTTGCAGTACCGTATTTTTACTTTACAGTTTAAATTGTCGTAACCAATTCATTAAAGCTTTTGGAAGTTTTGCTTTCAAGGGGAAACATTTCTTTGCATTAGTTTGACAGCTTGTATTAGAATTTGTGAAGTGTCTTTCTGGTTTGGGATAACTTAATGATGCCTTTGAGAAACTGGAATTGGGAAGTTCAGAAGTCACTCTGTATGAAGAAAGCCTTTATAAGCCTTTTCCATTACTTTGGACTTCAGAAAACATATAGATAAGTGAAATTTTGCATTTAGTGCAACCAATAAAGAGATGCTAACTCATCTTGTTTAAAGTATGGGATGTTATTGTGTAAGTAGTCATTAGAGTATAAGTTTGACCAAAGTTATGGTTAATGTTGTTTCAAGGAAGAAGTATTTGAGGCAATCACATAAAGCAAAATACTTAAAAGAACTTTTCCACTCTCACATCCAAATGGATCAGAAATGGTTCTTAAAATTCTAGGAATATGAGCTTAATGAATACAATAATCATGTCACTAGCTCTATGGTGACTATCATCACTTTAATTGCATCTTGTGTTCATATCATTATATTTCAATAAAAACTCTGAGTAGGGGCAGATTTGGAAATCTATAAAATATGAAAAGTAAGCTTCTGCTTAGCTTTAGTTTGAACACTCAATTGACTCTTGCAACATTTTCAATTGCAGTTGTACCAATTAATAATGTTCATATACTTTTGTTGCCATGCTTTATTCTTTTAGTCACAAGAGTCGTACTTTTGTTTCAGAAAACTTAGCCTGGTACATGGATTTCTTTGCTTTAGAGTGATTCGATGCTGGTTGTTTACATTAAAGAAAGATATGGATCAGTTACTGAAGTATTTTGAACTGAAGTAGTTCTCAATTCATTGAATCCTACATGGATCACTAAGTATACTATTACTTACCATTTTGAGGCTGTCCAAACCTTGCTGTAAGCTCTATAGTTCCCATCTTTTTTTGGTCTGCAAAATGATGATTTGAGTTGCTCGTTGTAATTTAATTTGTTGGATGCCACTTGATTACAGGTTTCATGTCTTTGATGTTCTCAAGATATAACTACTCATCTGTGGTTTTTCTCATGCATGATGAAGTAAAATGGGACTGTTTTCATTCTTCTCTGATTTCTTTTGCTTGGTTATATTGTATTCATTCTTATTGTCATGTACCCATTTACAAGAGACTGATACTCCAGAATCAGCAGTTGCTAAACTTTTTGCATTGCATTGCAAGAATGAAGTTTTGACATTGGAGGATATCATTTCATGATTTCCATTATCCTCATACTTAAAAAAAATAAGTTGCTTAATCATATTTCTTCTGTTGCAGAAATGCTATTGAGGGTGTGATGGGCTTTGATTAACTTTGCAGTTCATCTTCATGTTCAGTGGGATACCAGATTGGACATATTTTTTTTCTTTTTACAGTATATAATCATTAAAATATTGTCTTTCCCTTTTTTTCACAGGAAGTATAGAAACAAAAAGGAAGATGTGGAAGAGCCTGAGGTTGATCCAGAAAGAGATCAGAGAACCGTCTTTGCTTATCAGGTAAAGATGCATATATAATGTTTGTTCTAAGCTTTTTTTGCACCCCTCATGTTTTTCCTCATGAATGCTGGTGTAAAATTTTGTAAACTATTTTTGACATATATCCTTCAAGGCTAATGTCTGTTTTGGTGCATTTGGAAAGAATTCCATGAATTGTAGCTCTACGAGGTATGTTGATAAACTATATGCGAGTTACAGAAGCCATGTTTTTGGCTCCACTCGATTACAAAGCATCTTCTTTCATTGGAGTTAAGTTTTATATATACCCATCGCATTTCTTGTTTACTCAAACATAGCTCCCTCGCTCTCAATCCTCTTGCTTCCTTATTCGCGTTGTTTCATATCATCCTGCTAGTTTCTTTTTCTCCCTTTTCAAAAAACGTGTTTTTGTTTTAGAAGTGAGATGATCATATGTTTATCTTCGATCAGGTAAACCAATTACGGTTTCCTTTTCCAATCATCAAATTTTCTCATTCCTTTTCCATGTCTGATCGAAAGCAAAATTTCTATTCACATATTTGTTTTTGATTTTCTTTTCCCTTCAATTTTTTCCTTTAAATTTGTCTTGCTCTGGAATTGTTTGCTTATAAATTTTCGTGATAGGTTTGTAAGTAAATAAGGAAGTTTAAGTTGTTCCCTGCTTAATCCAGTATAAAATATTTATTTAGTGATTTTACTTTGTTAGGGTTATTTATTTTTTTCTTTTCTTTTACTTCAACTTTGTTGTGAACTAAAATTCAATGCAATTCATAGACACAAGGGCAACGTTCGCTTAAGGTTATTGTTGAAAAGGAGAATGTTTGCAGAGTGTTTTTATTCATGCAGATTTCTTACATTTACCCTTCAGTTTTGTTTGAGAGAAATCGAGCCAAGTTTGAAACATGCATGATTTGGAATAAGAAACAAGCCTGAGAAGTACATGTTTTGGTTGTGTTATTGTTCTCTGCTACAATTTTTTCATTCAGTATTCTGGTTGTAAAGTATCTTTCAAATTTGATTTTGCAGAAGCTGATTTTGGTGGAAACAATGAACTTTATATTGTCGCGGTCCAATCAGTAGGCAATGGCAGAACCACCTCTTCCAGCACCAGAAGAGGTGGCAGAGTCTACTTCTGTTTCTAATTCCGTGACATCTTTGGATGGGCTTATAGCTGAAGATCAATTTCCAGAGTACCCTGCAGTTGAAAACCATGATTCAAAAACCAATGAATATGTAGGTGAGAATGCTGGTGTTAGGAGTGATAAGAAACACTCGGTCCTGGAGAATCACATTGATGTTTCTGAAGAAGATGGATGGATCACTATTCCATATAGTAAGTGCATAGTAATCTAAACAATACTAACCTATGATTCTCGTAGTTTATTAGTCTCTACTTATGATTTCAATGATTGGCTTTTGCTCATTTTCTTTCCATTTTTTCTCCCTTTCCTTACTCCTTTGAAAATGTTCAATTTGTAAAAGAACTTGTTTTGAGCGAATTACCCCATACTATGTGTTGGACCAGTATGCATTTAAATCCAAACAATCAAGGTTGTGTAGGAGGGCAGTGGCCTGATGTTTGTTTTTATCACTAATTTTCAACTTCTGGAAACTAGAGTGTCTGGAAAGGTAAATGTCTGAAACTATGTTGGCAAATTGAAGAGTCGTGACTTGAGTTTTGTTGTGAAAAACTGTTCAGTTCAAGGTTTTGTCTTTTTTTACTTTTTAGTTTCTTTACTGTTTGGTTATCTTATCGATTGCTTCTTTTGTTGATTTTGGCTATTCTTAGCTCTTGGAAAACTATGAAGTCTTTTCTTTTGTGTTCATTCAACGGATGGTTCTGTACCTATTTGATTATTTTCCCTTTTGCCTTACTTTCACACTTTTGTTTTCATTTTTTCCCCAATTATAGAGTGATTTATAGTATCTCTATATTTTATTCAATATCCGTTAATTGCTTGTTGGATGCTTTGCTCCTAGGTTGCTCAAATTATTGGGAAGCCAGACCTAGCCCCCTGCTGCATGGGTGAGAAAGCTTGTTACTCTGTGTGATCAAGCCCCTGCAACACCATTTGATGCTGTTCCACTTGTTTTAGAGAAGGAGTTGGGTCGAAGTATAGGCGA